TCCAACCTACGGCTACGCATAGGTACTATGTCGTCTCTCTCTCTCTCTCTCTCTCACTATGTACGTACTTTCTGTGGGGGGGCGCGGGGGCCCCCGGAGGCACCGTGCGCCGCGCAGCAGTGCGGAAACGGGGCTCCGGCTCTATTAGTCTCTACTAGCACCGACTTCCCGAATGATCACGGTTGATCAGAGGGCAGATTTGGAGAGATCTCGAGGAGTACACACAGATAGACCCTCCAACCATCAGAAAACTCCGACCTGATTGGTCGTACTGACCGCCGACAGATCACTCCAGACAGCAGACAGGCCGACGTCTGCACACGGCCGGCCGGGCGAGAGGCTTGACACGATCCGACCCTGCGACCCTGACGCTGCTGCTCTAGCTATCAGACATGCACTGCTGACTGCTGCCACAATGTGCGACCTGTGCTGGCCCACTTGGCGGCCTTCCCGGTCAGTGGTGAGGCGCAGTTCAGAGCTGTCGATGGCGCGATGCCGCACTGGTCCCACATTGGTGACACGAGACCGCCAAGTTTGCCGGTCCAAGAGAGAAGCACCGGCGCTGTCCTGAGAAGGTGCGTGGTCCCTCTTGACTGCCCATGCGCGCGAGGCTGTGTAGGCATAGCCTCGAGAGTGCCAGCAGCCAATCCGAGGCAGTTTGTGACGCGCATTGCGTCAGAAGCGTGCACGCAGCTGGAAGCGTAGAAGACACCTTCCTACTGGCCGTACGATCAGGTCGTCACTGAATGCTGGATACTAAGGCCGCGAGCTATGCAGGTGATCAATTGTGCAGCATGGCACGGTCAGCAGCGCCGACAGGCTGTCGCAAGGCGTGATAGCATGGCCGCAAGTAAAGCCGTACGCCGAATTCCGATGAAAACAAGTAAAAAATCACAAAAATAAAAAATCGGCGCCTGCGGCGGGCCATGGGACCCCATCTCCCCCCCGCTAGGGCCCCCGCGCCCCCCCAGAGCGTACTTTTAGCTTACAGTGGGTTGCGGGCATTAAGAAAACAGGATTGCGCGGCACGCCGCCGTTTCTAAGCCTTTCCTCACCCCTCACCCACCCCATGCCGTGGTTTCTTAGCTCCGGCCGGCACTCAAGCCAGAGCCGGCCCGAAGGATTTTTAGGTAAGAGCTAAGAGGGGTAAGCTGCGGTCCGCGAGGGCGATGCCAGAGTCTGCCGCCTGCCGGAAAAACCTGGTACATCCCAAGGTGTGATCTGTGAGCTGTAAGGGTCCGCCCGGCCGCACGCGCATTTTGTATACCGAGGCGGTGCCCGTCGGACCTTAAGACAGCGTTGTAGATCCCTGGGCGAGGGCGGTGGAGAGGGCGGTCTGTCGGCGCGCTAAACCGACGGGAGGCGGGACCTACCCTACCTACCCCGTCATGAGGGCCGAAAGAAAGCATCACGACTTTCTTTTCGTGCCGTTGTCTGCTGTGCCTTTTGTGGTGCTAGTTCGTGCCAGTCTGCTGTGAGAGCGGGTTGTCCTTCTAGAATTCTTTTCGTGTCCCCTTTCGCGATGCTCGACGCGCACAACGGCCTGTTCGCCGCAACCTTTCCAGCCCCGACGCTCGTGCAGATGTTCCTCGTAGTCCACTGCCTCTGGACCGGCGTCATGGGCGTTCTCTGCACCTGGGATCCGTCTTTTTCACCCATCACCGAAAACGGGGTCTTCAAGCGCGATGGGTCCAAGGACAAGATCCTGCACCCCAACGTGCGCGGCGCGTGGAGTGTGCGGGGCGGCTCAATGTTTCTCACGACGGCGGGCGCGCTCCACTTCGGTACACGAGAGACGTACCTCGTGGCGATGGCGGCAGCATGCTGGAGAGAAGCCTACGATTGCATCGAACTGCTGCGCTGCACGAAGCGCGGCCATGTAATCGTGCTGCGCGTGTGGAGGTCTCCCTTTGGGCCGCAGCCGCCACTGGTGGTCTTCTTGCTCCTTAACCTTCTGGCCATGTGGGCGATTCTGACGGCGGACTGATTACCGCTTGAGAGGGCGCGACGCCGCTGCTCCGTTGTATCTTTTGTATGCTCTCGCCCCTGTGTGTTCGCGCTACGTGTTCGCGCGACGGCGCTGCTAGTACGCGGCTTGCGTCACCGTGGCGCAGCGTCCGATCTCGACGCGTGACGGCGCCGTTTCGCTACTCCCACCCGCATCTCCGCGCGTGTACCTGGTCTAGGCCTCCGAATCATCGGTACAGTGGTCAGTGCCGACACACATCATAAGTTGCGTGTCACACAAGAGTGTCATCAATCTGTTCTTTCGAGAAATGCTGATCGACATCGTCTCCGCGACCCAGCTCTGCGACGGTGACATTTTTGTGGCGAAGGCGATATCGCAGAATCGCAGTCGGTACGCGGTGTGGCCCAGCGCCCCCCGGATCGGAGCGGCTCGCTGTCGTTTCGTTCTTGTTTTTCGGAAAGAAAAGAAACGATCGAATTTCTTCATTTGTGTTTGCCGCCGCTCAACCCGTGTGTACGAACTCTGTTCACACCGAGCAGCTCGGAGTGGCTGCCCTGCGGCTATAGCAAAGCAGACAGTCAACCCGTCGACATGCCGAACCCAGTCGCGACTTTCGACACCACCATGGGTGAGATCAAGTGCGAGATCTACCTCGACAAGATGCCCATCACCGCTAGCAACTTCATCGATCTCGCCAACACCGGCTTCTACAACGGTTCGTGCCGCAGCTACGACCATGGAAGAGCACCGCGCCGCCCGCCGCTGAGACTCTTCATCCTTCGCCTTAGGCCTCCACTTCCACCGCGTCATCCCCGACTTCATGGACCAGTTCGGCTGCCCGCACTCCAAGGACCCAAAGTCGTCCCGCGCCGGCACCGGCGGCCCGCCCGACGGCCACGCCTCGTGACCGTCGCAGCTTGGGACCCTTCCCGTACCCTCTCTAACCCTCTCGCAGCCTTCCTGTAGGCACCTACAAGAACCTCGTGACGGGTGCCACCGAGAAGCGCTCCGGCGGCGGCAACATCAAGGATGAGTGCGCGGCGCCCACCATCCTCCACCACAAATGCGCCACTCCCAATCCGCGCTCACCGCCCAGCAGACCGCCGGGCCCGCCCCACCCCCGCAGCAGCGCGTGACGCGGCTCAAGGCGGCTGTGCCGTGCTCCCTGTCGCAGGTTTGCGGCCAAGATTTCGAACGAGCCCGGTACGCTCTCGATGGCCAACACCGGCTCGCCCAACTCGGGCGGCTCGCAGTTCTTCATGTCCGCGCTCAGGGCAGGACGGGCGCCTCTTGACTAGTCAACCCTCACGAGGATTTTGATTTCGTCCCAGGAACACCGTCCACAACGACTTCCTGGACTGGTTCTCCCCCGGCGAGTCGAAGCACCCGGTGTTTGGCAAGGTCGTCGATCAGGCGAGCTTCGATGTGATGGTCGCCATCTCGAAGACCCCCACCCGCGACGATTGCCCAGTCACGCCGGTGACGATGAAGTCGGTCACCGTCGCTTGAGCTCAGGCACCGCTCACATCGCTTGCGCGGCACTGCGAGCGTACAATACACACTGCGGGTTTCACGCTGCGACACATCGGCCCTCGGCCGCCAAGGTAAGGTAAGGTAAGGTTAACTTATTTCTCACACACACAAAACACACAAAAGAAAATGTGCCAACAGCGTGGTCTCGAGTTTATGTGTGCGCTCGGCAGCCAGCTAGGGCTGCCGGGACGCACCGCTCGCGCGTTCTGCACACTCGGTGGACTCCTCACTCCACCGCGGAGTGTGCAGAACCAACTGGAGTGGGTAGGCTCGACGCCGTACTCGAGTGTCGAGATGTAGCGGACAAAAACTCGCCGCCGAGCGTGCCACCGAAGGCCCCCCGTCGGAGGTGATGGAGTGTGAGACCTGAGGCAGCGGAGGTGACGCCTGATGAGGTACCGGCCCGTGCACAGCGACTCAGCTGGCGACCGCCACGGGCTCAGACGAGACTTGTCGACCCGTTCCGGCTCAGCTTCACCGTGGTCCTCCGGCGTCTGTCGACGTCAGGACCACCCATACAGCTCGCGGGTTTGAGGTCGCAAGGGCCAAGATGGTGGCGTTTGGACATCCCAACCATCACACAAGACAGCCCGTAGGTGATGGCGGGACGGCTCAGTGTTTGTGGCACTCGGCAGTAGGCACCCGCGGCACGGCCCCGCTGTTTCGGCTCCCGCGGGCTGCGGAACTGGCCCCAGAAGGGGACGGTCCGGGCGAGTGTGGCAGTTCCTGCGCTAGTATGGGCACCCTCCATCATAGCACTAGACTACTGATTCTGGTCATTAGAGCTGCCAGGGATAGCGTCAGGAGCCGGGGTATAGGAGTCAAAACCCCTCATATTTGAGATCCATCGTGTCCCACGATATAACATATATCGCGATATATACATAAAGCCGTACTCTCGCGCCAAGCCACAACGAGCCAGAACTCGACCCACTCTGTCCAAAACACACATAAATAAAAAATGTGGTCGATACCGCGATGCGTCGACCACCGCTGTTTCGAGAAGAACATCACCACAGCTCCTCGCCGCCGCCGTCGGCGACCCATCGGTCCCATGCCACGATGGCCAGAATGTGGACGAAATAGATCTGCAGTGAATAGTGCGCGAGCGCGTACGAGGTGCGCCGCGCAGCTGCCTGCAGCACTCCGCCGAGCCCGGACGCGCGCCCGTCGAGCGGGTGGAGGCTGCGGAAGGTGTACGTGTGCAGCAGGGCGGCCTGCACCACGATGGCGGGGATCGTCGCAAAGTAGACGGCAGAGCAGGCGCCCTCCGAGACGCCGCCGCGGCAGACGGCGCCGACGCTGTTCTGGAGCGTGAGGTGGACGTGCAGAGCAAAAGCGGCAAGCTCGTGCGGGAGCGCTGCGCACGCGGCAGCGTCGCCGCTGTGGAGGCTGTGGCTGCGGAGTCGGCCCGCCACGGCCCAGGTCAGGCCGCGAGAGCCGTAGGCCAGCTGGAGCCCACCATAGCCGAGCGCCTCCTCGGATGCGACGAGGAGGGCGGCGAGGGCAGCGTGCAGCAGCGGCGACCAGCGCGCCGCGTCGGGGCGCAGCAGGGCGCGCCAGAGCGAAGGCGGCCGGTCGGCGGGCGGCGGTGCGACGAGCGGGCGGACGCAAAGCCGCGCGAGGGCGATGGTGATGAGAGTGTACGGGTGAATCTCGCCTGAATGAACATGAGACGATGTGGCATGATGATCATCAGGCCGCTACTTCTCTTCCACCTG